TCCTCACGCACCCCAAGGTACCGTTGGCCGCCTTAGCCACGAGGGCACATTGCTGGCTCATGCGCAACTTGTTGTCCACCAGGACTCCCAGGTCCTTCTCCACTGGGCTGCTCTCCAGCAGGTCAGCCCCCCGCCTGTACTGGTGCATGGGGTTATTCCTCCTGAGGTGCAGGACCCTACACTTGCCTCTGCTGAACTTCATTAGGTTGCTCTCTGCCAAAAGGAGGACTTAGTCTCCTTGGGCAGAGGGGATTCTCTCACGTACTCAAGCCTGGAATAGATATTACCACTCAGAAGTTATCTGACATCATATTTAGAGCTTTTTTTTTTGTGTGCATGCCCCACATATACCAGCAAAGGTAGCAGAACTCAGAGCGTTCTCCAGACTTAGCAGAGAGTATGCTCCTGAATTTCAGCAACATGCAGAGGACATAGCACTTAAAGCCATGTGTGCTGATCAGTTACCCAAAGTTTCACTGCCACAAAGATCAGCCTTGCATCACAGAAAAGGAGCAAGTCAAAGCTGAGCAGCAGGGCAGTGCTCATACACGTACCTTCACCAATAAAGGGATACTCCATACCATCCCTCACGCCTGGCTCTATTTCCACTTCTAGCGTTCGCTCCTCATTCACAAGCCTGCAAAGAGGAAGAGCAAGCAAGCACTGAGTTTGTAACAGCAGGTGCTAACACCTACTTATGTTACTGAGGTAAGGAGAACCTCCCCCCAAGTTAACACATCCTCTCGCCTTGCTCACATCTAAAACTGGAGGGCGAGAGCTGCCTCTCTTGCGTGCTGAGACTCATCTAGTAAAGAACACAAAGTTAAGCTCCTAAATGCACAGTCAGCATCTGGATGCGTGACTACACCACAGGATTCCACATCCAACTGTTCCCAGCTGGATACCATGGGCTTTCTTGACTTTGTTTATTCAGATTTAGTTTTGGAACTTCCACTGTGACTGATTGTTCAAGGAATAAGAGGCTGAAAGAGCACACTGAGGAGCTCTGCATCTAAGAGAGCTGGCCATCTCTACTGTAAGAATAAAGACTGGCTCCCTGGAAATGAGAAACCTGCCCAGATCTTACTGGTAGTAGAGGCACTTTCCTCCATCTAGTGGTAGGTTTTGAATAAACATCCATATACCAGTAAAGACCATAAAACTCACTTGACGTTTGGACATTCATCACAAACAACTTCTTGAGTCATCTGGAAACGTCCAGGACCCAACTGGGTGGTCCTCATCTCCTGCCGGCAATTGCATTTCCGTTTGCCAGGCGCCTGTCTTGCCACTGGCTTGTTCCTGACAACCTGCACGGAAGAGGAAGAGGTTGATACCAGCACTCCTGGGTTTCCACAAGGGTCTGGATTTCTCAAACAGCCTGAACATGATTTGTTTTTCCATGGGCTGCCTTCACAGTAGCTCCAAATGGCCTCAGCAAAACTTTCTGACAAGTTTTCACCTTGCCTCTCTTGCTGATCACACGTTAAACACCAGAAAAACTCTCTCTAACACCACTATTATCATTTCCTTCCCCCCCCGCCCCCTTTCTAAATAGGAAAGGTAACATTAGGATGAAACATCTCACACTTTGGTTATGATAGCTTCCTTGTCCCACACAGTGGGCAAAATTATTTGGAGTTCTCCATTTACCTAGACACTCACAAGAGAAACTCAATCAACACAAATTGTAACATGCAGAATAGCAGGGATTGTCAGCACCAGAAATGTAGCTTGCTTTAAAAAAATAAAAATTAAAAGGTCACCATACATTTGCCAAGCTGTGATCCAGAAATTTGCAGCGACATGTTTGGCCATATAAAGAGGCTATGAAAAATCCATGACGTGGTTTTGCAAGAATTGCAAAATTAAATTTGAGACTTATGAACAGGCCCTCACATATCACTAAATTCTAGACAGACACCACTTACACCTTTTCTAACTGGGCTACTGCCATAAAAAAGCTACAGCTAGTCACTGACAGCCAATAAATACGTTATTATCACAAGAAGCATCTCTTTATAGAGAAATTACCAGATGGCAAGGATGAATAAATGTATTGTTTTTTAACTACTAGCAAAGAGCATCACATCCTCCACTGTCACCACTAGATACTGAGAAAACAAGCATCTATTTCAGTTCTATTCTTTGGAAGAAGATATCATTCTGAGCAGTGGCTAGGCCAGGCATCTCAAACCTGAAAACATCAGACAGACCAACAGGCAAGCAAACAACTTACTTCTACGAAGTTTCCTGAATACACCTCCTCCAGTGTAACCTCCAGGTCCACAATGATATCACTTCCTCGGGGAATGTTCCTGTCTTGTTGGCGTGGGTTACCTCCAAACATGAATCCAAAGTCCCCAAAGAAGCTGGAGTAAAGCACATTAATTCATTCAGGAAGGAATTCTGATCAAACGAGGCTTTGATGAAGAGAGTCACCCAAGGCAGCAGCAACACGCTGCTTGGCAAATGCTTCTAGCCCCCTGGAGAACAGCCTCCTTGCAGTAAAAAGCCACCATAACTAAATCCAGATACCTCTTTTTGCTCCTCCAGGACACAGGCCAATGCCTTCAAACAAAGTGATCGCTTTGGAAGAGTTTTCTGTACTAAGGAAAACAAGGTTTGGAGCAGGAGTTGAATACCAATACCTCAAAATCTGATCGCTGCCTAATGGAAGTCCTCTCTCTTAGGCACTGGTGCTCAGCTACCATCACCACAAAGTGCAAACTCCGAGTAGTGCTCCATCTCTGACACTGCAAGTCAACGCTAGCAGATTGGTCTTCACTAGTTTGAGGACAATGGAGATGAGAAAAGACTTCCTAGTGAGCTTGCATATTCTTCCTCAAAACAGATCAGCATATGGTGTGAGTTCTCACCCATGAGATGAGCAATTTCAGGAATTGTTTTAGTAAATTTGTGCCCAGTAGAACCAAAGAGGCCTTAAACAGAAAATCAGGTTCTGCCTGAGCAACGTGCAAGCACCTTCAGACTTTAATGATCCCAATTCTACAGTTACTCTGAAATGCAGCGTAAGTCACTACAGCATTACTTTGCAAGAGAAAAAGTGACCCCCAAAGCGCACACGTGATCTGTGGCAACAGCTTAAACATTAATCACGTACCAGGTAACACAAAAAAGTTCCTCCGTGCTTAACACAGCTGCAGCACCTTACAAATCACCCACATGGGCAATGCAGCTTGCCAAGTGAGCAAGAGCTGCCCACATGGGAAGACACCACTGGTTCCCACTCACTGGTCTTGAAGCAAGGACTGATGCAAGACAGACAACTGAAAACTGCACATGGGATATCCACTATAAACTTATTTCTTCAAATTCTCAACTGTCACTTCAGATCAGCGCCTCCAGAGTGGGTAAGAGACCTCAACATAGAATTTGCCCACGTCAAACGTGTGCATGAGCATCACAAAATTAGAGTACCAACTATAGAATAGCCTCAAGTAGCAAAATCTCCTTACTGTGAGAAGATGTCTCCATGGGAGCTCTGGTGCCCATCCTTCAATCCCTCCTCACCATACGCATCATACTGCTTCCTTTTCTCCTCATCTGACAGCACCTGGCAAAGGGATGCAAGCAGACAACACATTCACCCACAGCTGAGACGAGTTATTTAAACCAGGCTTTGAGAGGAAGCTTACCAGTCCTCCTCACTGGGGAACAAGCAGCAATGCTTTACATGACAAAAGCACCGCCTAGAACTTGCTTGCTGCACTGGATTAGAAAAGTTAAACATTTATCAGTAAAAACTATAGTTAGTTTATCCAAACAGCAGAAGCAACATGGAAAATATAACTGATACTGAGTTTAGCTTAAAGATTAGAAAAAAAAGAAACAGAAGGAATAATTCAAATCAGTTCCTACAAAGCAGGACAGACTGAAAAGTCACATAATACCACCCCTGTTTCTCAGTTTGTTCTTCAAGCATGCAGAACATGTATTTCTCTGGCTACTGTTTCATAACGATTAGCAATGACAGTAAGTTTGCCTACCAAGCAGAACCTGCCAAATATGGTAACTCTGCACCAGTTTGAATGCTGCCCCTCATACCTAAGGGCAGCAAAAGTTAGAAGTAACTTCAGTACTGAGGCAGAACAACACATCCCAACACACACAACTTTCAAGACTGTACAGCTTCAAGTTTAATTCCCAAGTACTGAGCTTTGCTCTTTCGTTCCCAAGCGATCCAGAAGTTTCTGGTCATATTTAGTCTTCCTTCCTCTTCCTCCCCATTGATCATATTTGGGAAGATTAAAATTGCCAGGTTAGCTTTCAGAAGGCTACAGAGGAGTGGAAACAGGTGGAGAAGCTGGCCAAATGATGAAAACCAGCCTGAAATTGTAACCAACAATAAATGCTAGCAACAGGGGGAGAAAAAAAAACCCAACATATAAGAACAACAGCGACTTTACTAGCTTCATCTAGTAGGTAAGAGTTCAGTTCTCCCTTTGCCACTTCAGATTTTGCAGTAAAACACATATTGCCTAAAACTGGGATAAACTTTCCATTTTGTGCTCTGTTGGTATCAGAGTAAAATTCTCCTGGTAGAGTACTGCAGGAACAAAGGAATTAAGACCACAAAATATTTGCCTTTCCATTCATTTTCCTTCTTTCTCCAGGCTGTTGGAGAACACAACTCCAAGAACACATTTTAAGTACTGTGAAGAGATTTTTTTGTTCATTACGTTAGGGTGCCTTGAAAGCAAAGCAACTATAGTGGACAAGCTTAGAAAAAACCCCAAAACCCCATGGAAACTCCACCCTCAAACCATCCTGAGACTAATGATTATACACACATAGAGGAGGCTCAGTTCCCTCAGGCAGGCTCAGTTTCCTTTCGCATTGAAACAACAGTGTTCAGACCACACAGCTTGCAGGGTGGAAATTACTTAGGCTGTGAAAATGAAGGAGAGAGTAGTTTAATTAACCTACTTCCCCACAATTTTTTTTTAAGACTTTGCTATAGATAGTCAGCTAGCCAAACCCTGAGCGGTGGTACTACTAGCAAAGTCTCCTGCTTTATGGCAAAAAGCATCCTGGATTAGGTTATAATGGAAACATAATTCCAGCTCCCTTTTGCTCAAAACAATCAAATCAAACTCACTGCATCTCGTAGCTAGTTTAGCAGTAGGATTTGCAAGCTCTACTGGCTAAACAAAGAGACAAAGACCTTGCAGGACGTCAAAAAGTTACTTCTTCCAAACCGATTTTAAAAACTTTGTATGTCAATACTGGATTTCAATTTTCCGCTCTTCAGCAAGGAGCATACGAATGAACAGTTTGAAGGGAAGTTTCCTAGCTTAATTTTCACCAGCACCCACCAAGAGCATGTTGCGTTCACGTGGTGTGTGCCAGCACTAGAACTCCATGCTTTGTGTTGAACAAGGACACTGTTGTGCTTCGATAATACCCTGGGGAGGGGGAAGCAGACTCAGTCACTGCTCATAAAAGTTAATATTCAGCTACTCCTGCCACTACATCCCCTGCTGATTTGATTTTACAACCATTTTCTCCCCAGTGTTTTTAACTAGAAAGAGTACTCTCAACTGTTACTATGGCAAAGACTTATATAAACTGGGACTTGGGGAAGAGGTAGAGAAATGCTTCCCCCCATAAAGTACTACCAAATGTGACAAGATCCCAACTCACAGAAATGACACCAAGCGCCCTGCTTTGAGGTAAACCACATGCATCAATCTTCAGATGCTGTAAATGACAGGTAATGAATGCTTTTTTTCCCTCCACAAAAAAAAAAATTCCTTACGTTCACTGGCTTCCCTGTGATAGTTTAGTCAATTTATTTAAGAATAGACAAGTCTGAACTAAAAGAGAGGTCCCAGCTCTGATACAAAAATCAAATTAATGTGTTTTCTTCCTGACCAGAGAGGAATGCATTCAAGCTGTTTCTCTCACTTCCTCACTGATTTTATATTTGCATATCTGAAGAGCAGAGAAATATCAGGGATGGAAGAAGCAGCAGCCACGCCACAGCTGCTGGCTGAGTGGCACCACCGGGCTGCACTAGGAATGCAAACCCTTTCCTTCCGAAGCGTGACTCCCCAAAAAGGACCAATGTCCCCACCCAAAGAGCCCAGCAATGCAGGCAACCTCCTGGTGGAATTGCTGCTATGAATTCTTGCTGGTCAATACCATCTTGCTCTGCTCTGTGGGGGACAGCGGAAGCAGCCGGAAACCAACAGTGGCAGAAGAGAGACAAAAAAGACAGAGAACAGGGAAGAAATGGATCCTATCGCTGTGCCTAAATTGTGTTAACGTGTATGTACGTGGCAGAGAAAGTAGGTTTTGACTTAAAACATTTGGCTAATAAAATAATCTACATGCGATTTATATAACGCACTGTGCTGTTAGCGTCAGCTGTCGTTTGTATGCTACTATATTATCATAGAAACAACAGGAATCCTCATGCACACGTAACCTACCATTAATGTCTTCTAAAAGCCAAGCCAACCACCTTCTATCTCCTATTGGCCCAGACTTAACTCACAGCCAGGCTCTATTCATACACACACTTGTTCCTCTGCCAATATTTATAGCTGATACAACTCTATTTCTTCCTCAAAGAACTATTAATAAACACCAAATAACTTGCCGCCTTCACTTTCTCCTGGCTAAGTAAGCCAAGGTCTTTTATTGTCCTCTGACAGAAGGAGCTCTCTAATCAACCTGGCAGCCTCTCTACCTTCACTTTTCATTTGGTAGACTATCTGAAATTAGATATGGTAACAGGGAGATGATGGATTGCACCTGCATCTTATAGAAGGGCCTTTACATTTCCTAGAAGCTCTCCTTTCTTTTCCCCTGAACATTATAGAACAAAACCTCATGAGGTTACTTGCTGGCCGAGCTCAGCTTCACGCTCCCAGCATGTTTTACCGTGAACCTTGTCCATCCTTCACAGTCAGGGAAGGGCTGGGAAGACTTAAGGTTCTCCGAGTTCCTTACAACAAGGTGCACAACTTCAACCCTCTCCTTCCCCAGCAGTTACACCAGGCCCTGCTACACCCTGCCCTACACCCCAGGCAGCAGTGCCGCTCAGCAGCGCCTACGGAAAGGCACATGGCAGGGGGGAACCCTCGGCCTCACCTCGTAGGCAGCCCCCAGGTCCTGGAACTTCTCCTGCGCCCGGGGGTCGTCAGGATTCCTGTCGGGATGG